TTTTCAGCTTGTGTAGAGAATGTTATTTCAGTGGGATTATACAAGAACTTTTTGAACCAAAATTTTGGGATTGTGCAACAAATATTTTTCAGTTTGTCTTCAGGAATATTATGCTTGAAGCTTGTCCAATCTACAATGATTTTGAAGATTTTCTTTTGCTTATTGAATTGGATTACTGAGTTAGGTTTTTATTATGACAAAAAACAATTGAAAAAACACAGTTATTTGGTTCAATGATCTGAATTTGTTTGTTTTGTTTTGGGATGTGATTTTTGAATGAACTATATAAATTGATTATGTCTGGAGGTGGAGGATATCTCCAAAAGTGACTGGAGTTTGTAAGTTTTATGAGAATGCCAATATTTTAACATAAGTTTAATATTGTAAAGTTGGCATATGTTGGATCTTGGTTTTCTCTATTTTTCGTAATTCAATCTTGGACTTGATTTTCTGTATCAAACTGTGACTTACTGGCATGGGTGTTTTGAGGATTGTGGTGCATTTTGAAGTCCATTGGCCGGCTAATAGGGCTAGGAGGTTATGCATATATGATGTATAAAATTTAGTTCATGATTTGGTGGTCTAACAACTACATCTTTGTGCTGAAAGCCTTTATTCACCATGGGACCCAGTCATTCAGTTATTTTCTTTATTATATTTCATTTGTGTAAATAGTTAAGCCACATATCCACTACGAAAGGTTTCTTATCTTTCTTTTTCATTAGATGGTTGGTTTCTAGAGGATAACAGAGTGACAATGCCAACCTTTGTATTTTTTATTTGTTTTACAAATAGTATTGATGGTTTGCATTTAGGATTTTTACGAATTATAGCATTCGGGAATAAGTGAGGATTTCTTTGGATAACTGATAAATAGTAACTTGGAGACATCTCGACTTCAAACATTTTGGGTATTTTATGAACTTTAGATAGTTCTGTTTCATTAATTTATTGAAATCAACAAAAACCAGCAGGTGGCCCTAGTAAGAGAGATCAGCCTGCAGGGATGGATGAGGACTAATTTTGTGTGTATGAAAATTGACTATCTTTGCTTGTATTGCTCTATGTTAGGGATCTTTTGTTCCATTTTAGTAACAATTTTGTTTAGGAGAAAAAGAAACATATTGCAGTTCATGCTTTGTAAATGCCACTCTTCTGTTACGATGGACACGTGGTATGCCCTTGTTGGGTAGGTTTGGATTGAAACCATGGTCGAGTGCTTGAGCCATGTTTGGTGAGAAGCTTGAATGGATTTTCTTTTCTGTTGTATTTGGCCCTTCTCTTTTCAAGCATGCCAAAAATCATCCTGGTTTTGTAATATGTGGTTTGTGCCCAATTAATTTACCGTGGATCTTGCATTTTTGTACCCAATATTTGATAGCTGCCTTCTTTTGAACGAAGATTCATTGAGGGAGAGAATTACTTTCCTTTTGAATATGAATCGATGTGCAACTCCAACTATCATTTGAAAGGTCAACATCAATTCATGCTAATATAAGGATGGATAACAATTGTCGTGTCCGTGATATTTGAATTCAGGATTACTTTCAACGAAGTGGAGACTGTTATTAGACCAAATGACCATTGACATACGATATAATAGCAATATTAGGCCAATATACGTACACTATAGAGGCAATATTAGAGCAATATAACCACAATACGATAGCAATAGTATTACAATATACATCCAATAGGGTGGCAATATGCATACACTATTTATACAATACAAAGGCAATATTAAGACAATAGCCTCATATTGCCTTAGTATTGCTACTATATAGCCTCCTATTGCATTCTTATTTTTACTGTATTAATTGGTTTTTGCTATTTTTTGCATTAATTGGTTTGAGAGTCCTCTTATTTGCACAATACATAGGCAATACAAGCCATATATAGGGGCAATACCTACGCAATATAAGCTATATACATGGGCAATACAAGCCATAAGAGTTTATATTAATTTTTCCTTAAAAAATGACACAAGCTATAAATTGGCAATAAACATACAATACAATGACAATACAAGGCAATAAATGGTTATACACAAACAATAAACAAGCAGTATATAGACAATATACACGTAATATACACTGAATGTATATAACGTGTTTTCTCAAAAAAGGATGTGACGTCCTTGATGAAATCACATTTTTATACCCATAATTTCCCAATTTCCCTGCTATGGAAGCAATGTTATCTCATTACATCTTAAGATATACATAAGAAAGTGGCAAAAAGCAAAAAATTTACATCTCTTCTTGGTCGGGAATTTTAACACAATTTATATCTATCATTAAAATTCCAGGACATGTCCTCTTAGACCCGAATTTAAGCTGAAAGTTAGCAATTTCCTCCCCAAAAGAACGCCGCCACTTGAAACAAGACAATCTTCCATCTGTATAAAATGGATTAAAAATGAAAATTAGAAGTAAATCATTCAATCATAATGGAAACAAAAACATAACATTCAATCACAATTGAAACCATTATCAAAATTCATATAGATTGTTGGCTTTTCTAAACGACCCAATTCTTCATATGGTAAGCTTTCACAAGACAGTACCATTGCAAAATTAAAGTTCACATTCATGCACACAATTTCATACTACTCAATTGCAATATAAAAGTAATTATAAAAATGGGTAAAGTGAATGTGTGTCCTCGCAGGCGAATAAAAATACTAATCAGGAAATCAGGAAATCATCAATAGTGCATTTGGCATTGTTCAAACAATTAAAGAAGCACAGTCTCAGAGAAGAAGAAGAGCAAGACAATGGAACTAGATAAATGCAAAGAGCTGTCAACAAACCTTCAAGTTTTCCAAGAACCCTTTTCACGACACCAACACAACCTTGGCATGATACCAACCTTGAGGATTGTATAGACTGCACTAAAAACAGATCTAGGATTGAATTACGAAAAAATAGAGAAAACAAAGATCCAACATATGCCAACTTTACACTATCAAACGTATGTTAAAATATTGGCATTCTCATAAAACTTACAAACTCTCCAATCACTTTCAAAAGACGTAAATGATGAGAATCTTACATTTGTTGGTGGTGCTACTGGTTTCAAATTATGATGTTGGTTTCTTACAGTTAAAACCCACATTACTGTTATTTCAGAGAGCATCTATGAGTTTTATATGTATTCTTACAGGTTGCTCAGAAAAGCCAGAAGTCCTAATTTGATATATCACCTAAGCGATTTCACAGACAAATCACAATCACAAAAGAGTGAATACACCACTTTCAAGGAGGTCTGCATGTCCAAGTTTCAATCACAAAACAGTGTATGCATGATTTCAGAGACAAATCTTAAGTACAAAACAATGTATCCAAGTCCAAGAGCTTGACAACCACAAGAAATAGTTGGTAAATTTCATTCAAGCACTGAAACAGCAAACAAACCACAACAAAAACCCATTATTGTCTCATTCAAAATAGTAAAAGTAATCACCCAATAACTCAATCAATAACAGAAACCCAAAAAAAAAAAAAGCAAAACCAATATTAGAACTCACCACAGTGAAGATAGAAGATGAAGGTGTCGTGGCTTTGTGGTGGAAGTCGACGACGGAGGTGGAGAGTCACGATTGTCGCTCTGTTATGGAGGCCGACAACGGAGGTGGTGAGTCACACCTTGGCTAGGGTTCGATTCCAAATTTGGGGTTCAACCTTGAGGTTTAAATTAGCTCCTAGTTTGAAGATATAACTAAAAAGAGATTGAGTAAAGCGAGATTCTGTGGTGGAGGTGGATTCCTGTGAGGTTTGGCAGAAGAAGAGGATGAGGAAGAGACTAGATAGAAGAGGAAGAAGAAGAGTAACGACTGAGAACAAGAAAAACCTAAGTGAAGGATGGGCAATAAGTTGTCAATAGGGAATTTTTATAGGGGATATTTGTGATTAGATTTCAAAATGGGGATAATATTGAATAAATTAGCTGCGCCGGGGGCAAAGCCGCCAATTTCCCTTTGAAAAATTGGGGTTTCACTTGTGAAAAATCAGATCCCGCTTTTATTTTTAGCGCCCGCCCACAATCGCTTCTTTTTTCTCTTACAGCGTTTCCTCTGCTATAACTTAATGCTATCTTCATTTTTTATTTTTTATTTTTATTTATTTTTGGTCTGAGACTAGATTGTTTAAAGTGTCAGCTTTTGTTTTCTCTCTTTTTCTCTTTTTCATAAGGGTGTTTTTTAGAGAGTGTCAAGTATACAAGGATTTTAATTGACGTTTTTTTATAAAATGTCAAGAAAAAGTGATATAGAGTTGACGTTCTTTATTAAATGTCAAGGAAAGTGATATATAGTTGACGTTTCTTGTAAAACGTCATGAAAACCTACTATATAGTTGACGCTTTTTAAAAAGCGTCAAAGCTTCATAGAATAGGTGATGGTTTTGCAAAAAGCGTAACCATGAAGTGTCAACTAAGGCCCATTTTCTTGTAGTGATTGCCATTGTATAGCCTTTTATTGCTTGTGTATTGCCACTGAATTGCCTTGTATATCCTTTTTTTTTTAAAAGTCTATGTTAAAATAAATTTATAGGGGGAGTACGGAGTTTGTGTTAGGCCTGAGCACGGTTCGGGTCGGGTCAAAATTTGGCCGCCCCGCGAGCCAAACCGATGGAGAGCTCG